TGTATTGTGAATGGTAATGCGATCATTCGACCATTGTACGCGTTCAATGCGTGTGTTCGAGCTGACTGGTGTATGAAAAACTGACGAATTAACAAAGGAAAAAGGAAACAAAAGATTGTAATTTTCGGAGGAAGGAAGAGGAGAAATTGAAGTTAATTTCGAAGCTTCCAGTTTGAAAGAAACACGATATATGAAATTTTTAATTACCTTAACCCGTTCACTGCCAGCTACGAGATTTAGATTGGTTGCAATTCGTCACGGAATAAGTATAAACTTATAAAGCCTTTTTTTCAAACAAATTTACAAAATAACAAATTTTATTATCAAAATAATAACTTACATTTCCTTAAAATAAAATCTTGGCGCCCAGGGTAAAATGCTCTAAATTTGCCTGGCAGTGAACGGGTTAAAATATAAAATTTTCTTTCGTTTAACCTTCAGTTGCCTTAATAAAAATTCTCAGAGAGAAACGGAGAGGAAGCAGAGAGGCTTCGACTACTTCGAAATGGCAAGTAGTAAAGATCGTGGTTGGTCCCGACGGACGGAGGTCCGCAAGAAGAAGACTGGTCCAGGTCTTCGGTCGCAGAAGAGAGCCAGCTCTGACACGACGACAAAGAGGAGAAAGAGGAACGATGAGAGAGAGAGACAGAGTGAATGGGTATAAGCACTAAGCACGTAACTATAAAAGGAGCAGGGGGTTGCGAATCGTCGCTAGATTAAAAAGAGGCTCCCTTTTTCGCTTGCTCTTTTATGCTCGTGCGCCGCGCCCCACACGCATCCTATGCCCCCGGAACGTGTTCGTCTATACACTAACCGACCATGTGAACACTGAAACACGAATAATGTACACACGAGGGCGTCTTACCTACACGTACACGATTGCCGTACCAGCACAGTAACGTGGGACACGTTCGATACCTCGCGACCGTCCGCTGTAAAAAGCAATTCGATCTGGCAGCGCGGTATAAGCTTCCCTATTTCCTCTCCTTTCTTTATTTCCAGCCTCGCGTAACGCGTCAATCTTCCTGCGGGATTCGACTTTCGGCCCGGTCCGTCATGGAAATGCAAATCGAACGATTTTCGGGCTCGTTTTTCGATACAGAAATATCTCCCGCCGATCTCTTCTCGAATCGAATAATTAGAACGCGTGAAAGAGATCAATTAGATTAATCAACATTTGTATAGTCATTTCCCTTTTACACGATATGGTCTCGATCAAACTCTTATCGTAACATCTCCCTACTAATTATTCCTCTTCCACGGTGTTCGTGCCTCTCATAAAAAAGAAGAGAGGAAATTCTTTGTTTAACGAGCTTCTGATCGAGAAAGCGTCGTTCAGGGTGTGGCCGCGTAGAGCTGTCCAACGCGATAGATTTTCCAAAAAATTATTCCATTAGAGTAATTGTCCAGCTCCTGTGGAGGCACATAATAACGGTCACGGAAGGATCGCGTCCGCGATAATGGCCGCCATAAATTGGCCGTCATCTGCGTAGTCTGGCCTCTTTTTTTTTTTACCGAGCAGCTGTCGCGAAAAGTCGTTCGCGCTTTATCAGTCTGGTAATTAACTCGATTACCTGGACGATGAAGCTTGAAACGAACGAAAGCAGCCTCTGAGGCCGGGCCAATTAAGCCATCCTATCGATTGTGTTCCATCGCGAATCACGTGAATTAGCGGCAACTCGCGTGAACGCGTTTGCGACTGCTTCAACAGACGTTCTGGGTCACGCGATTTCCCTTGGATCAAGGATCTCGTTTAATTTATTAACAACTCGATCCCTTTTCGTGCCATCGCGAGCATCCAACCATTAGGAATTACTGATTTTTTGTTTGTTTATTGAACCACCACGTTTTGCGTGGACCATGATAAAGACAACCCGCTCTTCGGGGGGTCCTAGACCCCCGTGGACATGGAAGAGCACGTCTATTCTCCGGAGGAATAGATTTGCCTTGTGTTTTGATGGCGAGCTTGAATCGATCATGGGATTCGTTTGGAGACAATAACGATGGCAGACTGGCTCTTTCAAAGCAACCCCCTTACGTTAAGCAAAGGTTGTTCTATTCAGAATGATCGCCGCGTCAATTTTACATATTTTAGTTAGAACGAAACGAGTAATAAAATTTATTTTCAAACGCTCTCGAGACTTATATCGGTTCGTTTTCAATGACCCACTTTTACCTTCTATGTAATGCGCGCTAAGGGTATAATATCGTATGCTTTTTCCACAATTAATCCCCCGATGTACCATTGTAATTTCCAATCTTTATACGAAATTTCTGCTTTAGTTTATATAAATATATACGTCCCAGAGTAATGGAACAAATATACCATTTATTTATACGAAATTGCATATGAAAATTAAATTTACATTATTCACACATTGTTATCAAAATATTGTCTCAATGTCCGAAATTATAATTGTTTTTCAGTAATAAATGGAATTCATTAAAAAGTGTGGAAATTTAATTTCCTTCTACATTACCTATCCTCTAAAATGTTTTGACGAAATTTGGAAAAAAAAAAACTTAAACTGGGGCAGGAGTAATGAGACCAATCATCGAAGGGTGGACGAAGAATAGATTCTTCGTAAAGATTTCGTGAGTTCACCGGTGTAACACGATCGTCACTTACGAGAGCTCGAAGGACACGGGCTTCGAGACCGTTGTCATCCCCTCACGTGTTAAATTACCTCGGGTACGGGGTGCTGATCGAAGAAGAGGGACAGACCGGGAGGAGCCGGAGCGCAATTCGACTCTAGATTCCAGCCGACAATGAGCCGATGAATTTTCGACAAACAGGATCTTAATACAATTTTTCGAATACGAGAAATCTCTATTTAGAAGGTGTGCCAGAGGCTAATTGAGGGGTAAGGGAGAATTTTCCAAAGGTGCGAAAATGCATTCGTCGCGATCGAAAATTGATTTACGACTTTTTTCCTACATCGAGTATGAAAATAAAAAGGATAAAAGATTCTTTGACATTTGACGACGCGATGCGCGATAGCATTTTGTTTCCTCCCCTTCACGCAGAACAGAACACGAAATGGAAAGAAGTAGATTTTCCCTTTTATTTGTTCTTTCTTTCTAGAAAAGCGATATCGACGAACAGCTGAATTTTCCGATCGGCTTGTTAGCGATAGGGAAACGTTGTTCCGCAAGGCAACGACGGAATAAAAAAGGAACGAAATTGAAATCGATCGATCAACGCTCATCTCGCGGGCAACAACGTTTCATCGCAATTACCGAGTTAATGAGTCGCTTTAAATATTCAATGCTATCGCTTATTAACGCCAATATAAATCGTGTTTAATCAGTTGAACCGCGTTTAATCCACCCGTGGCGTTCACCTTCATGCGTTGCTAATTTCTTCGACGTCGTTGAGCAATCTGTCCTCGTTGTCTCCTCTATCGTTCCCCGAGACAGACGTTTCCTTTTCTCCCCCTCGATACATAAACATTTATATTTTCCCTTGCAAACCGACTTTCAGCGTGATACGAGATTGCAATCTGTGTCACTTGTGTCGGAATTGGCCGAACAACCAACTCAGAATCCGTGCAATTCGCGTCGAGTTTCATGGTTTTAGACAAGAGGGGATGGAACTGAAACTCAAAGGAGACCGCAAACAAACCCGGAGATTTAACGGTACACAGAAACACTGGTTTCGATGCGATTCTGAGAAATAAGTCCTTTTCAAGCAAGTTCAATTGTTTCCGGACGCGTGAAAGTAGGTATGGTGAAATTACCCTTACGCGTCGCTCTGTTAATCGAATAAAATCAAATCGAATAGCATTCGACGCGGAACGTAACAGAGCAAGTCTCTTTCAATCGATCCGACAACAAAGTTCCGATGAAAAGGGAAAATGTCGAACGTCGGAGGGTTAGATAAGAAAAGAGCAAGCGGGAATAAACGTGGAAGCGCGATACCTCTAAAGGACACTTGCCAGCAGTGTCTGTTATCAAACGAGACCGCAGGCAAGGATGCAGATTCTAGACAGTAGCCTCGATACGATCGAGTCCCTACGGTCGACGAAAGGGCACCGAGTGTGTTCCCCGCGAGGGGGTTGGTCGGGCAGAGAAAAAAAAGAAGAAGGAGAGAGATAAAAAAAATAGAAAAGAAGGAAGACAGTAAAGGTAGCAAAGAGGGCCGAGAAGAAAGGACAGAGTGCAAGCGGAATACAACTAAAATGAGAAAGCCAAGGGTGTAGAGATAAAGAGGGAGATTCGAGGAGGTGGAGGAGGGAGGATGGAATCGTTCCACGGGTGAAAGGCGCTCGTGGAAAGATCAGAGGCGAAAAAGAGGCGAAGGTGCGATGGCGCGCGACGGGGTGTGAGAACGATGATTGAAGTGCACGTACTTACGTGAGCGTACTTACTCGGATGCGGCGTGTATGCAGATGCAGAAACGTGGCGGTACGGTTGGCATTGTCGTCTGTGCTCCCTCGTGGTCGGGCACCACCAATGGCGCCTCCACGTTTCTCCTCGGAAAGGCGACGATGAATCGGCTGAACGTTTCACCACCTGACGACACGCGTGACACGCACTACGAGCTAAAAAGTGTGTCGCGTGTTCGTGGAATCGTTCGATGCTCGATGTAAAAAACGCACCCCGTTCGTTTCAACGAGTTCAATTGAATGCTTGCTCCTCTATCGGCTCCGTAGGAAATAAATGGCTCATTTTAACAAACGTATAAAGGTACAGAAATTTTTCAATTTTGAATTGTTACATATTTCTAAGTAGAACGAACCTGTATATAGTCAGACTATGAATAGCCATATATTTCCTATCGACAGGGGGATGAAATTTTGTTCGCGTTTGTTACGGAATTTCTATACTCTGAATAGTTTTGTAAATAATCAATTTTTCCTATCAATTTTCGAATTTTCACGAAAAGCTTGAACGCGGGAATGTAGCGCGAGCTCGACGCGGTGGCGACAATCGATGAGCGTCTATCGACCACTTTCCACTCCGCGACGACTTAATTACATCGCCGTTCTACCGGGAAATCAGCGATTAACTTTGACGGGGAAACGAGACGCTCGGCGATGCTTGTAACATCGAGCTTGCTCGTCTACTAAGCTATGAATGTTGACAGTACGCTGTCTTAACCGAGAACGTTTGATTTTAAACCTCGTGAAAATGGTAAGATCGATTCCTACTACTATCATTAATTTTCTTAATTATCGAATTTTCGGCGGAATTTTATTATCTGAAAAAGAACCCGACGAGAGACGTTTGAGAATAATAAAAAGGATGTTGAACGACGTGGACTGTGTGTATGGTTCAACGATCATTATTTAGCGATTACGAAACGATCGGCTGTACAATAATATCGAGAGATCTTGGATCACAATTGTCCGTAGAAAACACGTGGCTCGATGGACGTGTTTATCTTCTTTTCATTTCGTTCTCTTTTTTTTTTCTTTTTTAATTGACGTCCTATAAGATTAGGTGGTGATATACAATGGAAAGTAGAGCCGGTATTTCGTAACTATACCGTTCGTTTAATAAAATTAATCGTTTAGATGCTTATCACAACAGGTAGAATTAACGTCGTAGGAACCCTGCCTGTGTCTTACACGATTTACCTAACAATTAGTTACAATCTCTTAGTGGATCGCGAATTACATTTTACAGGTTGACACACTGTTCGTTTCGCGTTTGCAACGTTCCCGATTAGAAATAAACTAAAGAAAACATAGGATTTCGCTTTCGATCGTGAAAACAAGGATTCGTGTGCGATTTTCGAACGTAATGACGAAACAGTGAAAAAGAGGATATAGATTGAGAGAAAGAGAGAGGTGTAGGATAGAGGGACATAAGTGTGCTTGTCCCACGTTTTTCGACAAAATATCTTAATAATCGTTCCACGAGCAGTTTCTTATCGACAACTGACAGACTAGATACATACTTATATTACAGTGTTCGACTTGCCGGAAGTCGCCAGTCTCGTTGAACCGCGGCGGAAGGAAACTCCCCGTCGGTCAACGATCTCGTCCCTTCTCGCGATTCTAGGAAATTGAAAGACATAAAGTGAAGAATTAATTTGTCCGGTGAAGTGTGAAAGAGAAAATTTTACGAAATATTTACAGGTGAAAAATGCTGGATCCTTGTTGTTCCTTTAAGGGATGAAACTACCCTGGAGGCACTGCAAACGTTAAGTAGCTTAAAAAGTGATTTCCTTGAGAGATATTAAAGATGTCTCTACACACGTATCTATAAAACGAAATATAAATACTTCTCAAGAAAACTACCCTGGAAGTTACCTATCATTTCGAGGCATAGAAAAATAAACTGGAAATCACTGGACATCCTCGAGTATCCTATGCAAAACTAAAAATCATCAAAATTGATCTGACCAAATGAAAGTGGGATCGGTTGAAAATCGTGAGTAGAGAGGTATTCCCGTTCATCCGGACAAAGCGATCGAGGCGATTCGCGAGAGGGACATCGCGGCGTAGGTGGTGGTTGGTTGGAGCGGACCGACGGTCTCGTGAGCCGGACGGTGTTATTGCGAGGAGGATTGGGGTGGTTGGCCGTTAGGGGGCGGTGGCGGGGGTGGCGGTGGCTGTGGGTGTACCTGGTGGGGTAGGAGTGTGTGCGCCTGCACGTGAGCCGGATGATGATGGTGGTGCTGATGGTGATGGGAGTAGAAGATCGGTTGTGCAGTGGTAGGGGGGCAGGAGGTGCCGACGCCGACGCCGACACCGACGCCAACTCCGACGCCGACTGAGTGGGAGAGCGCCGACGTGGCTACCGACGCTGGCGCAGCAGCGGTCGGCGGCGTAGCCACCGACACCGAGACGCTACCGGACGTTCCGCTTCCAGCTGACGCTTCGTGATACAATATCGGCACTCTGACCAGTCTTTGAGCGGCGTGCGCCATGTTTGCCGCTTCCAGTTCCGCGGCCAATTGCCTTTTCCATTTGTTACGACGATTTTGAAACCAGATTTTCACTTGGGTCTCGGTCAGCCGTAATGAGGCAGCCAGACCGGCGCGTTCCGACGACGATAGGTAACGTTTCATGTCGAACGTGCTCTCCAATTGGAACACTTGCGAACGCGAGAACACCGTCCGCGTCTTCTTCTTCCGTTTCATGCTGCTCGAGTCACGACCGTCAACACCGACCTGCACGCTGTTCTGTCCACCCCCGCCACCACCTCCACCCGAGTTCCCCGTACCGCCATGGAGGCCGGTCGAGTTGGTCGATTCTCCTTCGCCATCACCGTCGGGACAGTCGTCTTGATCCCCTAGGTCGTCGTGGCCCTCGTCTCCCGTCGATGGACTCCGTGTCCGGTGCAGACGATCCTCCCCGTTATCCTCGTCCAGTTCATCTGCACAGAAATTCAAATTTTCTGGTTAAATTAAAGGAAATAAAGTGAACGTTATCTACTCTTATTATGGAGTTTCGAAGTTGCGATTCCGCAATAATCTGTTGCTTTTTGATAAGGCCAAGGCTCATCGATACCGATTAACGCTTCGATTTGCGGATAGGCGAGCGGGTACATGCGCACGCTAATGGAAACGTACGCTTCGAATCCCAGCGTTGATCGGTACTTCATTGTCATTGTGGCAAATGCAGGGAGCTAAATGGATACTATCCGGGGCGGACGCATTGTAAATCTCGATGCGCTTTAAGGGGCTTTTCTATGTTTCAGCTTGAGAAAAACTGATCTTTAATTTTTCTTTTAAACTAGGTATTCTAAAAAGATTCTATAAAAATTACAAAATTAAAAAAATTAAGAAGCAATACATAGAAAATTTTCTGTCCTTTTAGCCATCTAATACAAAAAGAATTTCTATCGACATCTAACAGTAAGGGATGAAATATCTTTCGACTGATTGAATTTAATCGGACGATAAATAGCGCGAAGCAAGTGACGAATCCATGATTTCGCAAATCGCGCTATTTACTCGTGTCTCTTGAATGTTGCAGAACGGTTGGCACGATCGTTGAACGAGTTAATTAACCGGGTCCTTTAAAGCGTTCCTCGTGCGGCCGCCGATAGAATCCCTTTTCCAGCATTGTCGGTCGAGTAAATTCTCTCTCGGCATTGATTCGATAAATCACCGGTTATTCATCTCGGCCGTCGCTTCATTTAATATTTAGTCGATTTATAGTCCGCTAATTAATATTCTATTTATCCATTTTGATATAATTGCCTCAGATATCGGATGAACAGCGTGCAAACGTGTTTTATCATCGGGTGAAATATTTGAGTTTCTGGGTTGGTTCTTCGCACCTTTCGCGCAAAAATCGACCCTCTCCGTCATCTCGCTAATCCGTTCTGAATTCCACTGTCCCGCGTATTTCCCGCGCTTCGATGGAAAATTCTTCCACTTCCGTCGCATCGCTAATTCCTCTCCGAAACACCTGTTATCTTCGTTTTCGATCATTCGATTCACTATTCGCTGGGAATCGAAGATCACGGGGATAACAATGATATTTGGAAGTGTTAAGTTCCAAGTAACTTATCAGTTGGTGTAGTAAGTCAGGTAGCAAGGCTGTCAATTATTTTGGCGAAGTGGCAAGAGTAAAACGATCGGCGGGTAAGGCGATCGACGTTGGTTTGTCGTGGTGGAAGCCCTGGAAGCCGTACACTCGTCGGCCGGCCACGCTCGCGTTTATACACTTACGTAGAACGCGTACAAACTCTCGCCTTGCCCTTTTCTCTTCTCCCCTCTCGAGGGGCTAGCTCTATTCGCAGCCGATTTGTTGATAAAACATTATCGTTAAAAAGAAAAATCAACCCATTCTGATATTTCAATATTTCATCTTACAACTGATAATATTTCCTTTCAGTTGTATAGAGGAGGAATAATTGGAAGAAATTGCGGTAATCGGTCGATCACGTTAATCCTCGACGGTTTCGAATGGATGTTCATCGTTCCCATCATCGAATATGGTATTTACAAATGGAGCATTCAAGCGGTCGAATAATTTTCGATCCATCCGGATGTTTGCAGACCTCTATTATGCTCGACTATCCTAAATTTATGATCCAACAACTGGATGTATGATTTTACGCATAATCATACACCCACAATATGCGGAATGTTTACGTGTACTCCCGGCACGAGCCAGAACCAGCCAGGCAAATCATCCTTAATAGAGGTATTGGCATGGGATTTTCAAGGGGAAAGATTATCGTTTCGCTGTTAACGCGAAACGAAAATTATTTATGGAAAAGAAATTAATTATTTATATAAATTCAATGAAATTCAGAGAACAATAAATTTTGCCAATATAGACAGATTTTGATCGTTTCGTTATTTTTCGAGGTTTGAATTCGTAAAATGTCGACTTACCCCTTTGGGGGAAGGAAGCGGAAGCTGGACTGACTCGGCTTAGAGTGCCCACGACGTCTCCCGACGACGGATGCTCGAGCGTTTGCAAGCTGTGCGTCGGCCTCCATGGAAACGGCCAGCCGCCGCCGCCGGGTAGGACGCCGCGGATGCCGTCGGCGTCGACGATGTCCGATTGGCCGGATACCTGCACGGCGTTGCTCAACGCCGACGACGCGGCTGCTAATCGCGAATGATGTTGATGCTGTTGTTGCTGATGGATATGCTGAAGCGTCGATGGAAAGAAAACACCACCGACTCCGATGCCCACTGGATAACGGCCCGCTATCAACGACGACATCAGGCCCAGCCTGAAAATCATACGAAATAATTGTTAGAAAAAGAAATGAAGAAAGATATCGCCTCGGTGAAAGGGCTTGAACCTCGAAGGCACGCGCGTCCTGTTTCAAAGGTGGTTGAAAAAGAGGGTAAAGGAGAGCTCGTTTGTGATATCAGGAAAGTGGCCTTGAGCGGGCAATTAGTTTTAGACAGACTGTAGGAAAGTTGGTGGAAGGGCTGGATTGAAGTACCTACAACGTGACAAGTTAGGAAAGATCCCTAGGGGAGTGGTCTAAAGCGTGACGCGATCAATGGCGGGGGATGGGATAGGTAAGTTTTGAAATGTAATGAAGTGTAACACGCTCTCGCAAAGGAATCGTAAAGGAAATGACCTTCGTTAACTCCGTATACACCATGGATGATTGAAAAATGAATTTTTAGAATTCGGAATCTCCCTTCTTACCAAATTGTTCGAACCGCGTTTTATCATCGACTGAGGTATACCATTTTCCCATCGGAACAGAGAGAAAGAATTCGATTAACCGTGAATTCGAGAAGCAAGTTGAACATTTCGAGCGCGCCGTCGTAAAAGCGAAAACGTTAGCGAAAATGTTTGCCGGGCAAGCCGTTTAAAGCCGCGTTCTAAATAAAACAGCGCTAAAAAAAAGAGAGAGAGAGAGAAAGAGAAACGGCAGGATTAAAACACAGCGGCGGAGCGTTCTGAATGCGAGCGTTCCGAGTGTTTACAGCTGGAACGTGGCCGTGTCCGAGGCGTCGAGCTCGATTCACCCGGGTCTGTCTTCTCTTGCGAAAACCGGCAAACCGTTTTCCAAACCCATTTATCCGTAGAAACCCGCTTCGTTCCATTCTCCGCTTAGCCTAGACGAAGAGTGAGAGAAAGTGAGAGAAAGATTATTCGTGGATCATTTCGCGAGAATCGCGTACACTTTATTCACTCTGTTCCGGAAGCCATTAACATCACCCCAGGATACTTGGTCCTTCGGTTAAAAAGGAATTTCGAGAGTTATGCCTATTAAGAGCGACGCTTGCGTCTGCAACAATGGCACACAGGTTTAGCATCGTTATTAAGAGAGAAAATCCGCTTACCACAGCAGTTTCCAACGATTCTACCTGCGTGGATTGAATCCGAACGCGCTACCTGCGAAGGACACGTGTTTTCGTGAATGAAATCGTGGACCAAGTGATTATTCGCAAGTGGAGTAGAAATTAAAGAGAAATTATTACAACGCGTTTGAATTTCCATAGAAATTTATGTCACTATTGTTAGGAATTTCTTTAATTATCTAATTTAGAAATAAGACAAAAAGTAAGAAACCCTCTTGTTTGGTAATAGACGGTTGAAAATGTATTTTCCATTCCAGTAAGCATTCTGGTAAATAGGACTCTTTGTGACGCGTTTCTAGAGGTGGTCTTAATTGTAGATTAAGGTAAATGGAGCTCACGGTGATACCTAAACCTGGGGACCAAGGGACAAATCCTTAGATCCGGATATTTGTAAATGGAACCTCTCGACGTTTTGTAAGTGGAAGCCCTGGCAAAGGATATTCGCTGGTTAGAGTTGTTGCTTGTAGATACGGGAACGATTAGAGGTTTTGGTTTTCAATACGAGCGCAATCGGAGCCCTTCGAACTCTTTCATTTCCAATTTCCTCCCTTAAGAAAAATCGATCGTTCGATGAAATTTTTTCATTCGTTCCAAACGCCATTTTATATTAAGAACGTCGACGAGCCATTTACTCAGTGATTTTCGTATGTACCATAAGTGCCATTTCGTGATACTTTCATGTCATGAAATCACGTATGTAAAAGTGTTTACATTTCCAAACAGTCGAATACATTTTCAGCTACGTACAGCCGGGAACAGAATCGCCGGTGACACGAATCAGCCCCCAGGGTTCCGACATCTCGTACCCTCGACCAGATCCCTCAATTATGTCGACCATTTTACCAGGTCCCTCGTAACAGCCGGCCAACGAGGACGAGGACGATCGTTACTCGTGATCAGGGCGCTAAGTGCAGCTGCGACCGCTTGACGTCGCGACGGAACGCAACTTAACGCGCGAGCACCGATTTGCGGCGACGATTTAGTCGGAGCGAAATGTAGGTAGGTAGGTAGCTGGGTTCCAGGCGAGCAATACCTAGAGCTACCGAGCAGAAGCTGAGGCTTCCGAAGCCATACAGCTTCCCCCGTGTTCCTGGCTCGGTTCCCTTCGATACTCCGGCTACGACCAGACTCGACCTGATCGTAGCTTTTCCCTCTTGTTGTTCGTGCTCGCAAACGATCGCCAGCGATTCCTCCTGGCGAAAGAATCGACCGGTTCATGTCGCGACAAGTAACTCGCGGCAACTTCTTCGTAATTGTCGAGCTGACTGAAGAGGATTTTCGCGGTTCATTGAAGATTTTTGTGAAAATTATTCAACCTTGGCGTTATTTAAATAAACATCCTTGAGAAAATAATTTGAGGACACTTTTTTTTCAATCACTTCATCCCGTTTGATCGGGAAAGGAGAAAAAGAAACGCGCAACGTTGAGAGAGTGTCTTGGTCGCAGGATAAGAAAGAGGAGTAGCGCCCAGAGGCATCGGCCATACAGATGCCCGGGGAAAGATAAAAGAAATCTGACAACCGACTGTTTGTAAGCATTCAGGGGCGGTGGGGGCAGAGCTGCTTTTCTAAGGAGCCAGGTATAAACACCAAACACTCGGGACTCCGTTCGAAGGAGCGTGCTCCACCTTTTTCTGCCTAATTCTAGCGCGGCTTACGTCTTCTTAGGTAGCCAACGGAATGAATGGCCGTGAGCAAGAGGCTTTCTTCTCTCCTTTCTGACGCCGCGACTCTCCCGTTCCGGCTTCTTCGTCGCTCGATCGATTCCTCGAGGGTCCTCGACTTCCTCCAGTCCAAGGATCTCCTAACGATACATCTTTCTCTCCGTACTCCGCCACCCTCTTTCTACTTTCCTCCACCGTTGCTATTCTTCTCGGTTGTTGGTCGCTGATATTATTGGCTTGATCGAGTGTCCGTGAGAGGAAACTGGTTGATTACCAAGAGGAGTCACCCTTGTACAAAGGACGATTCAGACAGAGCCGTATTCGTATTTCCAGCGGAGAAAAGAAAGTGAAATTGCAAGAAAATGGAACGTTTAGAATTTGAAGTTAGAGGACCATTTTTTGATCCATATGTAATTTCCATAGGAAACCATCAATCGTGTTATTAAAAACCTTTGAATTAATCGGAAATACTAATTAAAATATGAAATCAACGAAGACTTGTGTATCGATTTAACATCCCGACGACGGTCAAGTAGAAATTGAATTCTTTCGAATGGCGTATCAGGACGAGTTTAGGGATCCTCGGGCAATTTGTCCGTTAAACTTCTCCCTCTCCACCCCGTGCATCACGTTCAATAGGCATATTATCCCTTTTTTTTTCCTGTATTGATTATTATTCCACCTTTTCGCATGCTTGCTAGGCCCCGGTCGCTCGCGAGCGGTGAGTAAGTGCCATTCTCGTGTATAAACTCTTTATGCGGTGGTTAACGATCGCTCGTAACACGATACGTTTTGTCGTGTACCGTTACAACCGGGTAGGGGGTAGTTTCGGAGCGTAGACAAGAAGGAGAAGTCGATTACGCACGATGGCGACCCGTAACGCGGGCAATCGTTGCACGCACTGGTTTCTCCTTCTTTTCTCGAGCCTTTGCCGATTTCCTTAGCGCTGCAAGGGTTTCGATCGTCGAACGTGTGGTAATTAGGGGGTTATTGTACAAATTTCACGGCCAGAAGTTAAATTAAAATCGGGCCTCTCTCCGTGGTCCGCCGGTCCGAGGGTTAAAAGATTCGTGAAAATTGTACGGAAATCGTATGATTTCTCGTGAAAGGGATACGCCGAAAATGTATCGATAAAAGCCTTTTTCGAGAAGATTGATTTCGAAAGTGCGCCGGTATACACGCACTTGACTAAAGCGCGATTTAAACGATCGGTCTACGGTTGTTTATCATGTTTACATTCGATGTATAGAAATCACTATTCACTTTCCCATCATGGTAGATAAATCCTCTCCGATCTCGTTAACTTTACCCCCCTTTCTATCCTTTCCATTTTATATTTTGTTCAATTTAAATACGAAGCAGCAACACGCGTCGGATTTCGATGGAAAAATTTTTGTTTCGACTATACAAATTTCTCTATCTTCCCTTGGGGTTCCGTTAAACGGTACCAAGCGCAATTTTTTCCAACAGAGCAGAAGAAATCTTGACAACGTCTCGACGCGACGTAATTAATTCCCCGATGGGGGTGGGGGCCGCGAGGAGGGGTTAATCCGCGAGTGTATCCTGGTCTGGGTTCTAAAGCCTGCAAGCGTCGCGCTAAAGCAATTAAGTTGTTTCCTTGAAATCCAGTGAAATGAAGTTGTCTCCTGTGTAAGCAGCAGCATAAATCCTCCACTTGGCCTGTAACAGGCATCGAGCGGAACGAAGCCACGCAGAGGATTTAGCCGAGTACTTTGAAAGCCAATAACTCATTGTTGGGTCATCGTAATGACACTTTATAAGTCAGTACGTAACCGTGAACGTTGGTGTTAGTCGAATCGATAAAAACAGAGGCTGTTCGCGCGTCAATAACGCGAAACGCTGTACAGCTTTTTTAATAATGCTCAAACGTTGCAGCTCCACGGATCACTTTCCAAACAGAGATCTAAACTAAAGGATTAATTTTTCTCGTTCGAAACACGATCACTTTATAAAACGATTAAGGGAATGTGCACACCCGAAGGGATTAAAAATTAACGATTCTGATTCCATGGGAGGTCGAAGATGAACGAAATTCTAAACAATTTTATAAATATAAATAATAATTGGGGATATGAAAAGAAAAACGGAGCAGGAAGTACGTTCAGGTATTCCATGGTTATTTCAACGTGGCATCGTTGTTTCAGTCGGATTTTCGATTTCGGAGGCGTCATCAGCGTCAACGTGGAGAAAAAAAGAAGAGAGAAAGAGTGGAACGAATCGAAGGGGTAGACGAAACGAAGCACGAGGACGGTAGAAACTGTGTTTCGACGCGATTATTATTCGTGGTCTATTCCCAGCTACCGTTCATTCCACATTTGTTTCCGACGTTGAACATCCATATCGCCCTCGAACGGGCGATCATACACAATGGGCTTTATCGTACCTTCCTTTGAAACTTCGAGCGCGATCCCACGCTAATTAACGAATCATTCATCGGCGCTGTAATTAACGAGGCCGACTCTGTCGCGGATTATCCGAGGCCAGATCTTTTTGCCCATAGACGTCATGTGCCTGCAGGTTACGTTGACTGATAATTGTTGTTGCCCCGTTGCAAAAGGGGCCCGACGCGCGACTTTTCCTCGTCCGCAATGCGACCGCGAGGAAAAATGAGCGAGCAACGTTGAAACAAGAAAATATATACACATTCTTACGCTTCTTCCTGTATCTCTCGTGTTTCAATGCCGCTAGTGAGATATATATTTCTATTTTTTTATTTATAATTTACCACCACCTCTCTTACTACATCTTTTTTTTTAATGAAACGTCGTTACATTTGTTGCGCTCCGTTTTCCGGGATAAACACGCGGTAATTAGATTGGGACGCGTGGAAAATGTTGAAGATAAACGGGAGACGGCTTCCTCTGTTACCAGTCGCGGAGTTCTTGATTAATTTACAGAGCGGCTACATTTGTACCCAGGAATGTTAGTAATTTTAATACAGTTTTCCTAGCAAGGACTGGGTTTTTAAACGAGGAATCACTGGAACTATTCGAAATCCTTCGTCCTTTGCTTCTATTAATTATTCTAATTTATTATAACAGTGTTAGGGCAAGTAATTAAGATTAACAAGAGATCGAGCTTGAAACGTCCAATCTCCTGAGCGAAACAATTTAGCGCGAAGGGAATGGTGGTTGAAGAGAAAGCTTAACACGCTTCCTGGCATACGCAAAAGGAAGTCGTGCTGAGAACGTTGAAGATCCGAGGTAAATTCACGGGGGCGTCTAATTCGGATAATATTCTACACGGGAATCCTTTCTCCTGAAATCTCTTCTCGCAGGAAATGCTATTACCGTATCAGTTCAGGAAGAGGGGGCGTACGTTAAGCGTCGTGACGGGCCGGGAAGATTTCGCGGTGCATGCTTTTCGTGTACTTTAGCCGAGACCTTGGCGGGGGCCAAGACTCCTTCTGGATGCCGTAGGCAGCTATTTTAATAATAAATCAAACCTAGAAGTTGCTTCCTCGCATCCTCCCGTGGAAGACAAGCAAAGGGGCTTGGGCTGCGCCGAAAATGGGCAGGCAGGATTGGTGCCCATTTCTCTCGGGAGCCTTAGTCTCCTTAACTTTGACTACGCTTGCTGCCTCATCCGCTGATGTATTATGCACCCGTTGCCTAATTGATTCTTTCCTACTTTCGCCGCCTCCTGCCCTACCTGTTATTCGATACTCTCGCCTCCGTGGGCTGTATCGAACCTCATCTGCTCAATTTCTCAATTTCTGATCAGCGATAAAGGAACAGACAAAATTCTACTCCCCCTGTACGAGTACCTATGAACTATCGAACGGTTCCAATCGCTTTGCACGTAAATACAGGACGAGTTGATCTGATATTATTATCGTGGAATTGAAAAAAAAAAAAAAATTCTGATACAACCAAGCGATCCGAAATTTGAGCATGCCTGAATCGTTTAAAAAGCTGCACGAGTGAATACCGAACAACCATCGGTGTACAGGAATACTCGAAAAATCACGTTCGTCTCTTTTTCCTATTTAAACAAAATACAACGATGTTTTGACGCGGATCGAAAATACAATCACAGAGGAAAACAGAATGATCGTGGCCATGGTGAAACCCTCGAGTGCAGCCGTGCGAATCGCCATCGAAACTCACCCTCACCCCCGCGGTGACAAGCGAAAACCCTGTCGAAATCTCTTTTCCCTCTTCTGTTCACGATGCGCATAAGTTCGAGTGGAACTTAATCAAATGGTAAACGGGTGGAAAACAAGCAATTGGAGGCATCGAACCGGTACGAACGAGCAAGTAAGTAAGACAGCCGGTTTATATAGGTGGGGAGCCGTCAATCGGAACGGGGGGTGTAAATCTGATAAAATCATCTCGAACCCTCCTCGCAGCCCCTTTATGGCACTCGGGTTCGAGTTTCTCGCAGACACACTGCCGGGCATATGCGTTCGAATAAATAAATTTTCTTTGCATAAACAATTAATTTCAGCTGATGTCTATTTTTAAATATTATCGTACAATAAATTGTTTAAGTTTCTTACCAGAAAAATGGAATAATCTTTCGAGTGCAATGTTTACGTTAGTCATTCGATGATCTTTCATGATCCAAAAGTTAGCTAATTCTGTACAAACGACACAAAGAAAACAGTTTGTCCGAATTCATTAGACCGGTGGTGTATATCCGATATAGAGCCCGGACGGGTCTAAGTAACGTAAGTAATGTAAGAGGGTGGTTGTTGCTACGGTTGTTATTAAATGAGACAGCCTAATAGGCCCATTACGGACCCCTCGGTCCATTCCCACATAATATAATCCTCGCCCCCACAAGCTCTGTCCGTTCCCTGTTACTTTATCATCCCCCAAGCTCCTCTTACTCTCACCCTCCGCTGGTAGAACGCGGTGTATCTTGATCCGAGAGCACTCACGCCCACGAAAATTTCATCTGCGGTTCGCGGAGACCCGCCTTTCGCCCCGAATTCTACGTGTCGCCTAGACTAATTCTTAATTTTCGATGGCTCGACGCTTGACCGAGGATCGTCGTTAAATATGGAAGAGGTATTCGTCGACGATCATCGTCTTCGAGACGGTATGATATTTGATAAGAAGACATTGATTTACGAGGCGTCTCCGGCTTATTGCTTGTTGACGTAGCTGGTGGTAATGTTTTTTGCGAGGGGGATGAAACCGTGTTCCGTTTTCTCCCTTTCGACGGAGAAAAGAATTCTCGGTAGCGTTCGCATTGATGGCAGAGAGACATTTCGGTGGAAACGGGGATCTTTGTCTCGGGGTGACGTTGTTTGTAAACGAAGACATTGAATTTGTTGACCCTCGAACGTCGGTAGGCGGGTCAATCGTGACCCAGACCTACGAAACACGTACAACGATGGATCGATTAAAATTAGCCGCTCTGATCTTCGAAAGAAGGACTTTCATATATTGGACAAATGATATTAAAATTTAAAAAGAAAACAAATTAACAATGTAATTGAATTTGAAATTAAAATTAGTTGCGTTGTATATCTTTGTACACGTATGTCATAAATGCATAAATATTCGTAATCTAGTTAGCAGGGACCGCGCGTTTGGTCGACATTGCGTCACAGATATAAAATTGATGATGCGCGTTAATTCCTTATTAGCAAACATCGATAGCTCGATTTATTAGCGTTGACGCGTTAATACGGTACCTGGATTAGTTGTACCTGGATAAACTATGTCAAATGAATTACAGGAATGATGGAAGTTATCGTTTTGCCAACCGTATTTAAAGCGTCAAAGTAGAAACAGCCCTACCTAAGACGTGGCACAGTAAAAATTACAATAAAATCAAATTAAAACGTCAAGCTTAGCACAGTCAATTTTCACTGTGCCAGTCAATACTTTATAACGTGTCTGACTACACACGACCCTTTTCACTGAGAGACAACGTCTTCAAGAATTTCGTGCAGTTCCTCTTGTTATTATCATGCCCCGTTTGTCAAAGAACACTCATGAATTATGACGAAATAAAGAAAGTTACAAACAAACGATCTCAACTGTGTTTTGATTTCACTTTCCATTACCTTTGATTCATTTTAATAAATAGACGCGATTTCATAGCAAAGGGTTAAAAACAGCTGGATAGAAAGTAAACATACCTGGAGAGCATCGCCAAGTCAGCCGACGCTTGATGGCCCAGTAACGGATTCGCAGCAGCGTCGCTGGGCGGTGAGAAAGTGGACGCCGGGCTGGTAGCACTGGTAGCACATCCTATACCGATACTGGTCGAGTTGTTTCTCGTTTCTACGGTGTGTCCCACCGTCGATGTACCCCGTTGATTAGCGGAGAATCTGATGGACGCGGGCGAGGACAATCCTCTAGCTGGGCTGTCGCAAGAGGAACCGATCCTCTGCGAGGTTTGCGCGTTGCTCGTCGGCAAAGGCGAAACTCTGTCCGCGTCCGACGATTGCCTCTCGGCCGACACGGTCGACGTTGAATCGACGGGCGGCGACTCGGGCCTGCCAAGGATGCTGGAGATGCTGAAGGACGTGTACTGAGGATTACAAGCCGGCCTGAGCGCCGGTTTACCGACGTCGAAGCTGAACGAGTGATGATTGTTTAAACCGCAGCCGGATTTTCCGTTCTTCTCTTGCAATAACATGTCCGCCGGCGTCGAGCTGCTCCTCGAGCCTTCGAGCTCCAAATCCTCTTCGGACACCACGGATACCTCGATTTCCGTTTCACCCGACATCGTTGACGCGCGTCCACAGTGTCCCGAACACGTCGCGACGCTGCCGTCGATTTTTGTCCCGCCAGCAACGACGACGCACGAGTCAACCGAGTCACCTGTTTCACTCAGCACGATCGTTCCGCTTCGTGTCTCGCCGTCCCGTCAGAAACGCACCGGCTGTTCCATCGACGGACCGTCGGCGGAGCAGAGTCTGTCCGACACGCGGATCGCTTCCAATGGTTCGCGTCTCATATCAGTCGCGTGGTGATATACGGGTATCGATGCTTCGATCAAGTCGGTTAGATTAAACGAGGAGTTGATCGCGACGCTTCCGTCGGCAGGACGTGCCTCGTCGTGCTGGATCGGAGACGGATCGCTCGATCGCGCGACATTCGTAAGCGATACCCTGGACGAGAGGATGATAGGAGACAAGACACTTGGAGGGCCCACCCTTTCGAGTGCCACCCTCTACCACCCTCCCCTCTCGTCCTTCGACCACCACCCCTCACGGAGCGTGTGCGTGCCAGAACCTCCTCCTACCAGCCTGACACGTAGCCGTTCTCCTCCACGTCCCTGCTCCGACTCTCCTCTGTCCCCTCTTAGCCGCAGCTCGGCTATTCGCGAGACGTTGTCGCGCGTGTAAAACCGCGAAGAGTAACCACCGAGACACTTCCTCGAGTCACTTTCTCTTCCACTGATCGTTAATCACTCGACGACACGTTTTCCCGGCATCCTATCGCGATCGATCCGACAACTTATCATCCTCTGTATGGAATAACTAGACAACTGATCTTCGCGGACTCGTTCGGAATCGTCAGCATCGCCGAAGGGTGTCGTTGCAGCTCGGTGGTTGATCGCGAACCAGAACGAACGAACGTTACGGTAACGTTTCACTGACGATGGAGTCGCGTTATTGGGACGATTCTTATCGAAACGATCGAGGGGAAAGAATCGCGAACGCGTATCGTGGCGAATGATGGACTGCGGATGGGCACTGTTCTCGCACTAAGGGTAGGAAAATGCCGGAGAAACCACAGGTCACACGAACGAGGGCCTTACTCGAACATTCGCGCACGCAGCGGGAACGCGCGGAGCGACGTAGGGTAAAGTGGAGGAGACTGAGAGAGAGAGAGAGAGAGAGAGAGAGAGAGAGAGAGCAAGAGAAAGGGAGAGGGAGAGAAGCTTTGGTAGGGTGGAGAAAAAGAAAGAGAAAGAGAAGGTCGAGACGAAGGTGGTGAGAGAAAGACAGAGCGTGGAGTCACGCTTCGAGAGTCACGGGGTGGTTAGTTGCGCGTCGGATAGATAGACTAGCCGAAGGACAGACGAACGAGCCGAAGGGATGCGTTGGAACGAGAGGGATGAAACGGACGTTGGTAGAAGGGTGGTAAACGCGTGTGGAGGGGGGAGACAGAGGACGGCTAAGCTGAAAGTAACCAGACGGGGTGTCGTTGTTGGAGGGGTAGGAGGCGGAGCGGAGCAAATGGCTTTCCGAGGGGGATGGATCCCGCGATTCCTCATAGGGTGGTGGCTCGATCGATGACTCGTGGTACATACTATCCGGCACGGGGGTAGCCGTAGGTGCGGGCCAATCGCGTGAGCCGCTACGTCCTTAACTCGAAAGATACTCGCCCTCGACGATCCTGCGGATCGCGGAATGGGGGTGGCTGCGGTGGTTTTACCGAGGCTACCTAGCCAGCCCGGCTAGTGGGGATAACACACAACTCCGCCGGTGGTGCCTGTGCCTCGCCGTGTTACTTATCCATTATAACACTCCAAGATCTTGATTTAAGCCTGCAGCCAGCGGTGAGCTTTTAACCAATTAGCCTTTATAGCCTACCCCCCTCGATACCTCGTCTCCTTCTACCCCGGTACCCACTCGTATAAACCCCTCTTTCCCGCCCATTTTAGCTTGCCTCGTACACTATGTCTCACTCTCTCTCTCTCTTCCTCTTCCTCTCTCATCCTCTCCTTCTAACTAGCTAGCACACCGTGCTAGTTGCCGTACACCTATATCTGTATTCCATACCAATGTCCTCGCCGCAGTCGCGCGATGTACCCACCTAATCTACTGCTTCTCTCCCTTCCACTCTCCCCCTAGTTACCTCTAGCTCCTTCTTTTTCCTTCCATCCGGCCCTCCTTTCTCCCTCTCTATAATCACATGCATTATGCGCGTCGGTGTATCAGAGCCGCGTATTCGCGCGTGCAAATACCCCGAGCACGTAGCCGGCTGGTCGAGGGGATGAGTTTCTCGTTCCCGAGTCGGGAACCCGCCCGAGTCCCGTCGCCAATCCGCGCTACGACTCTTCACTATGTCACGGTACGCTCGAGTTTAAACGAGGAATGCGCTTGGCGTCGCTGTTTACACGAATCGAACATCCCGTAAATCGTGAATTAATCCGAGATCGATTCAACTTCGAGGTAGTTTCGATCATTTTGTTCGATAAATCTCGCCCCTTCAACGTAGTAGATCACCGAAATGTCGCGTCGCAGAGCGAGCTAACGAGACCGGAGGGCCCCTTTAACGACCCTTTCAGAGTCAAGTTGACAAAACGCGGGAGGTGCGTGGCATAATGGGCCGGTCTTCACCGGAGATCCACTCGGAAGGGCACAAAAGCGGCTCTCGAGCGTCCGCGTGAAAGCGGGCTTGGATCTGTTAAAAGTAGCGCGAAAGTAGGAAAATGATTACACGGCCAGCGGCGTAGGCAAGAAAAGCGAGCGGTAAAAAGGGTCAAACGCGTATGTACGTGCGCGACAAAGCGTCGTTGCTCACGCGTAAGAACAGTTCCTCTTTCTCGACGAGTAAGTAGAAAACTGAAAAGAGTTGATCAACCCCTTCGGAGGGAACCTAGAAACGAGAAACTAGCGCTCGAGGTACCGTAACGAGATTAATTACCATCCCGACGATAAACAGGGTAAATGTTGTTGGAAACGAGACGATTTCATTCGACGATTCCTTCGCGAGATCGCTTAAGAGATTTGTTTCCTCGGCACGATTGGGAAACGCGGGGATCGCTAGTTTCACGTGGCTACGCGTAATAGCCGGGCCAAGCACGGTCGAGCGGGCAGGACCGCCTTGTGTTGCCCGTATTTTACTTTGTGCCCGGTGCGTAAGAGGATTATATCCGCCGCGCGGAGGGAGAAGGGTGTCGAGGGTGAACGACGAAGACAGGCGGACGATCTGAGAAATCGACGGACAGAGATCGAACGTAGGGGGAAGAGGTTGGAAGAGGATAACCGGAGGGGCGAACGGGAAGGTAAGTGGCGGGTATGCTTCACTTTTCACGGGGACGCCATTGTTCCCTATTATCCGGCGTGATTAGTCGATGATGCAGGTAAGCTACCGCGGGGGGTCTCCATTATATTGCCTGCACAAGTACTCACTCATCCGCGAACTCCGTGAATTTCGCCGGAGTATTGCGACCATCCTCTCGCAGCGTGTCCTGTCTCGATCCTTGTCCGATCCTGCTAGCTACGTCTTCGTCGGAACAACGAGAGAGATCGGTATTCTTTCGCGATCATCCGGTTCCTTCTTGCCTCCTCGTTTCGAACGGCTGCCCACCGGAATCGGTTGCCGCGCCGACCTGCTGTGAAATTTATACTCTTATCCTGAGCCGCAACAATGATCGCAACCTCCGCCTAGTTTTTGCACGGCCGATTTGTATCATCGTCCTGGGGCCTGCTCTTTATCCCTCGAACGCGAATCTGCTTTGTCGAGTAATTAGACCGTGCGCCGACTGTTTACGGACGCGGCTAGCCACCTGGAGATGTCGATCGTGGAATCGATCCTCCCGGTGGTTGAAACTCGTTTACCGTGTACTCCACGACTGATGGACCTATTTGGAAATAGAGATTGGAAGCATTAGATATCGAGGCTCGCTTGATGTCCCGTTTGATTAAGATTCTCGTAGCAATTTGAAGTATCAAATTTTCCAAAGTATTCTGGTAAGTATTCCCGAACCCGATTCACCGTAATCGCGTGATCGAACAGTCATAACGCGACACCCCGTTGAACAAAATACGCCCGACGAACAACGGCAAAGAGAGAGATCGATCAGCTGAACAACCATGACATAATACCTATTTAACGAGGGATACAGCTGACAGGTAGGAAAAAAAAGAGAGGGGAAGAGGAGGAAGAAGTAACAGCAGGAAGAAAATGAGAAAGAGAAAATCGGAGGAGTAGTTAGATAACAAGCGATTAACCGACGGTCATACAGCTTAAAAGATGGAGGGAAGGGAAGGACATAATGGCGACGGAGGTAAACGAGGAGCTGGAAGGTCGTGGAACAAGACAACGAGAAGAAAAGCCTCGGGTGGGGCTGGTTCCCTGACGGCTTTAATACCTTACATTAAACCCGGCGAGTAAGCGACTAATTACTTGACGCCGTTCACAGTAAACGCGAATTAAAAGAACCCGTGGCTCATTTTCGTCGGGTCTTTGTCTTCGGATCCGGTGTACCTACCCTTCTCGTTCCTCGACACTTGCCACCGACTAATCTTCGATGACGAAGACCGATCGAAACGGACGTCGAGATCCGCCGGAAGAAGAAACTCCTTCGTGTTTCGATTTTCTTTTCTTGCCTCTTCAATTATTAACCCATTCGTTTCGGCGCACTTGGGACAAGAAGCGCGCGTCGCTAAGGAAAAGGGTCAAGCAATAAATTCTTTCCCTCGAAATCGTCTCGAGAATAGTTTGAATGAATATTAACGCAAGGAAACTTGGAAAACTGTATAGATTATAGTTTCAGCCAGCGCTGGGAAATGGTGTTGCTCTTTAAACAATATTACCTGCTTTCTAAACTAACAATCTTGTAAACGTTTCCGCGTATATCAGAATCAACCCTTCTAAACATAAATTTCCGCATTCGGTAAATCTCGTCTACGTACATTTCCTACGTGTGTACATTAAATTGCTCGTAAAGATAAACCTGGCGATAATAATCATCGATAAATAGCAGGATTTAGATGGAATTCGCGATGCAATTACAATCATCATATTATTCAATAATTAACCAGAACTTATCGACGATTAAAGGTTAACATATGATTCCATGAACGGTTCGACGAAGTAGGAAACAGGGGTCGGATAAGAGAGATAATTTTTAATTCGACACCGATGGGGGGAATTAGGGGTCGGGAGAGAAGAATAAATTAACATCAACGACGACGATACAATGCGAGAGGGGTGACGCGATGTTGCGGTCAATAATGGCGTTTTCACGTTTTGACTGGCGACGCGGGGTGGATGCGATCTAAATTTCGGGGATGCGCGCCGGGGGTGGTGTTAATGGACGAGGGCGAGTGTATCCCCTAAGGACAATCGTGCCGGTCAAATTAGGTAACTTTCGTAAATAGCCTTGGTATGGTTTTCTGTCGGTGCTTGCGGCCCACCGAGGGTTAAGGGTTGCTCGAGCGTGCGTTTATTTTTTTTCCTCTCTCCTCGAAACCCGTCTCCGAGGAGTTCGGATAATTGGAATAATTGCGGTGCTTTGTAGACGCGAGAAAAGCTAAGATTTCCAGAGAAACGACCTATTATTTCAGAGATCAAAGTATCATTTGTGGATAAGCATACCTGGATGCGTGTTTCTTTTTTCTTTTTTTCTTACAAGAATTGGATATCTAAAATCCGACAGAAGCTAAAATTTATATGTAATCGAAATTTCGCCTCGGTTAACGATAATATGATTTATCCGACTGAACGCAATGAACGTTATTAAAATATAGTTGAATAAAATTCAGCCGCAGAACGATGAAACAGTCCGTCACGAAAATTATAAAATAAATGAGCGATCAGATAGAAAAAAGGTATCATTATTTCGTCGGCAAACAATGCGAATGAACTGGTACGTTCGTGGTGCATTATGATTATTTTAATAAAGGTTTGGTCGTCGCGTGTTTGATGCAGAGAACAAAAAAAGAGAGAGAGAAAAGGAAGAAAATTTAACGAGAAACACAGAGCAGCACATTTATGACGGTACAATTAAGTAAACAATACCGTGTGCGAGATAGGCCGTGGCTCGTTACGATGTATATATAATATTTAATACAAAAGGAACAAAAATTGCAGGACATTTTATGAACCGGGGATATGATATCGCGTAAAAACGAGTCGATCCATCAAAATGTTCGATATTCGATTCATTTGAAACGCACCGACCACATTTTGCTCGTTCCTTATCCAAACCTATAAACGGATAGCAATTATTCCCGATCTCCCGGCGGATATATATATATCCCCGTCGTTAATTAAAAAAGTTTCTCCATGCGAAAAAATTCCGTTCGTGCATCGCGGATAAAATAAAAAATGAAAGATAACGCGGGGGTAGCGTAGCGTTGATTTTTCGAGAAACTCAATCTTCGATATTCGTTTCGTCGAATGAGAAAATGTTACAGCGTATCAATAATGAAACCCGTGTTACAAATCAATAAAAAAAAAAAAAAAAGGAAGATTCCTCTGAATATTTTGAATCATTTTATTTCTAGACAAAATTTCATTATTCCCCTAGATAGAGAAATAACGCGAGAAGCGAGCCGAGGAAGGGAAAAATTTCTAAGTCCCTATTTCGCCAGTTCTGGACGTAAGAGCACAAAGGACCAAATTACCCCAAAAATCGTCCCCCGACGAATTAACCACAACCAGAACCACGCTGTGAAGTTCCTGCACACCCTCCAGTCAGTTGGTCGCTATTGTCTTTTTCCGCATATATTTTCCAGGTGCATTCCCGACGGTTCTTGAGCCGGACCTGAGGAAGCCGGAAAAATTCGTCGGACAGAGCGTTTGGTTAGCAGAGCCCACGAAAAGTCGTACTTTCGACCCCCTCGACATGAGGCTTAAGCGCTCACCCCCGTTCACCATTTACATTGTAACATCGCGATTACATGTAGTGTATATTAAAAAAAAGAATTCATATGATAGATAAATAATTCAATCTTTTAAAATAAGACTTATTCAATGAAGCAGATGATAGGGTGCAAAGATGAGAAAAATCTCCTGAGCTCCTTATGGGATATTCAAATTAATTTATCTCTTAATTGGGGATAATTTTCTTTCATCCATTTGACGACGACTCTGGTAAACATTGTTTCGATTTCGGACAACGTTTCTCAACCGTGTTCGTCTACAGTGGATCAGGTAGGCGCGATTCGAGAACGCGATGGCGTCCATTTTGCATTAATCCACGAACTGTGAGAGAAACTTTTGAACGGTACGCGTGTGTGAGCGCGCTTGTAAAAGCGCGGTCCTCGGTGGATTTGGACCGTTTCTGGCAAACCGAGCGAGCAAGAAACAGGAACGGAAGGCTGCTGGATATAGCAGAGGGGTTGGGACGACTTCTTTGCCGGCTTGAAATGGAGTCTTGCGCTCGCGATGATTACGCGCGCGAAAGAAAGAAAGAGGGGTAACAAAGAGGGCTGTAGGAAAGAAAGAAGATGAGACAGGAAGAGAGGAGGCTAGCGTTGAAAAACAAGAGAAAGAAAGACGGCGGTACAGCTATCTGGTACATACAGCACTGCAGGTCTCCGTGATATTGCCGCCCGGCTAAATGAAACCGCACGTGAAAAAAGCGCCGGGAGAAAGGTGCAAGAGCGCTCCGTCGACGCTCCAGCGAATCGTCGTCCCGACGCCTACTCGGTTCGATTTTCCTACCCGTTTCCCACCCTCCTCTAACTCGTCCCTGCCTCGATTCGGAAAAATTCCAACCTTCCAACCGCGCTGGGACGCGTCGAGGACGTTAAATCGAGCACGACTTTCCGTCGAGATCGACGACTAGATTATCGATTATCGATCGTTCGACTAGATTAACCAACGTTTCCACGATCACCGACGCAGCGCAACGTTTTGTCTGCACGGCGAGAGGGTGGGCGCACGGTTGGTTACGAACACACCGGCTCGATTTTCATCTCGACGAGTTCGTCCAATGATTCTACATAATTAGAGGAGAAATTAATGCAGGCGAATTTCTTCAGTGTTGACAAGTTTTCTCTTATCGTCGAGTGTTTCTTTGAATAAAAACCCTTCCGGGCTGGAGATCGGAGACCCCTTGATCGTATCTACAAAAGGGGTGGTTTACGGTTGCATTATTTGCGGCACGCTTGAATTCACGCGAATGTTGTCCGCCGTGTTTGTTACGAAACAGAAGATCGACTTTTATTCTTGACTGCCGATGATAATCTCGAAGATTGAAAGGACGTCGGATTAGATTCAGGTGTCGCTGGTATTTATCGACGAATTACCCGAGCGGTTTTTAAGGGATGAAAAACGAAAACAAAGAAACATCGAAGGTAAAGCATCATTTTCCATGGCAACGTTAAACGAGATTGGCGATCAAATTTTCTTCCTTTCCCCGGGACAGAGGAGAGTGGCGTTCGGTTGCCGCGCGAGATAAAGACATTCGTGGAAAACTCTGGCCGGCAAACAGACCGCTCCATTCTCTGGCAGTCCGAGCGCGGTTGACCGTTGCCAAAGGACCGTTTCATTGCGGAAACGAAGATGCGAATCGTTGAACGCGCGTTCGCAAAAACGGCGCGCACACGCGCGTCCACACGGTGGACGAGGTATAGAGGGAGAGGAAGGGATGAAACAGGGTAGAAAGAGAAAGGGTGAGTCGTCGAGTTGGTTTCGTGCACGAGGGGGGTGGTGGGAGGAGGCGGTGGTGTTGGTGCGAGCGAGGGAGTTGGTGCGGCGGGGTAGCGGTGGGTGGCGCGATCGATCGGGGATGGCTCTGGTTGCCTCCGGTTCAAAGAAAAGCCGGCGCGCGGAATCGGGTGCGGTAGGTAAAGCGTGTATACGCGCGACATCCGGCTAATCAGAAAATGTAGGAGCG